AAACTTTTTATCCACACCGATAATTTGAATGAATGAAGGTCTATTTTTACTACTACTGAGCCATAACTTGTTTATTACGTACTTATTTTACGGTTGTAAAGACTTTATACGGTTGTAAAGACTTTAATGGTCTTCTTCCTTTGTGGACACCGCCCATAAGAAAATGTAAAGTGCCAAAAATATGTGTCAAGCAACCTATATGTTACAGTTACGTAGTGTGTTAGCTATGAAAGTCACACATAGTGTTATGTGGACTCTACCTGCCATCCTGAGTTTCACACTCTCAGGATGTTACCAGCTTGATGTCTCAGGTGGACAAGTTATGAGTCTCCGCAGATGACTAGTCCCTTTGCTGGGTAAATATGTATAGTCCACATACCATGGGAGAAATCTCTTATGCATAGTACGTGTGAGCACACTAGCCAAAGAAGAAAGGAGAGACAGGACACACGCACACCACCCTAGCCCTCCACCACAAGCACGTAATTAACACAGCACGACACACAGCTACACACATTAGCCAAGAAAAATACATGGCATCACATGTCTATTGGGTACATGTATTAGCCGACCAAGACTGCATGTCAGGCATCATGACGTATGGTAATTTATGTACATTGACAATGTCCCTCACCCCTAAACACACAGTTCTGGTCATGACAAAGCCATTACACAATCCAGTGAGATAAAAAAGGCCAATCCCGATGATGTGATGTCCTAAGCCTCAATAATACTACCGGCTCATAGGCTGGGGAACGATGATATTCACCAAATCAAGTGTGAGAAAAGATTAAAAGTCCACTCAACAGCAACTGACCTACAGTCCTAGTATGTAGTTGTTTGAACTGAGTTCATTTCAGACATATGCATTCTCAGGAGAGTCTATGACCTCGTATAGACTGCACTCCTTGTCCACAGCTCCATAATGATCACACACCTGTACTTGTACTTCCCTGCACACACCACACAGACCAAATACAGTTGAACCGTCCGATAAGAGGACTCTCTCCAATATAGGCACGCAGTAGGGTGAAAAACCACACACTTTGAGGCCCAACGTTCTCTTTTTCCATCATACTAGATACTTTTTAACCTTAAGGACAAATGCCCGGTCCCACATGTGTCCATTATTTCGGAGGTCCACTGTACACGTGGTCAATTTTTTGGCGCTGACAACTTGTTATACGCCACAGACTTTACTATAGGCTGCTGACCTACATACCATAGGATAATTATGCAGATGTTACATGTAGCACTACTCAATATGCTACTGGTTACGATTCCCAAGGAACCAAGAGGAACCGTGGCATTAGGGCACCTATTCTGAACTAACTCTCATCTCTTTTTTGTGCACACATGCGAAATTGGCAAGACAAGCTACTACGATACCCAGAGCTGTCACACACCCATTAAAGTGTTTACAAAGAATGCAAGTATGTATGTGGCAGACTTAGCAGGTATATAAACTATTGGGCAGCAAGCGAGCATACTATTATTCGACTATAGCCATCTGAATGCTGTATGTGTGTGACTGGCACTGGCACACATCGTATGTTTTTAAATGTTTTACGTGATTCTATATACGTTCAAAACAGGAGTGAAATGATTGACTGCTTGCTTTGCTCTCGCCAAAAATGATGTCTGTTATTATGCCGCACGGTTTTACAGGTGTTTATGTAACTGTATAATAATTATGTTCCACCCAGGACTCTCCTTGTAACCATGTAACACATCGTAGAGCAGATACTATACATACTACCTACATACTGACCTCCTCCTCGTCACCAAAGAGCATGACAAGTGTTTTCGTGGTTGGGGGGAGAGAACGGACACATCAATCTCCCTCTTAGGGACTTGAACTCTGCCGAGCCACAAAACACCCTTCACACATCACACCGCCACCCCTCTCTCACATTGGACTGTGCAGACTACATACACAGATACTAGGACACCCAATGCGGAAGCTTCAAAATCCAGGCAAGTTCAAACACTCCAAAACTAAATCCCTTTGAACTCGCCACATACATGTAAACTATTGGGGAACTGTGTCAATCTGACGTTTGTTAATTAAATCATGGGAACAATTGATAAGCATGGACCAAAACTAACCCACTTTCACAAAAACAGAAATGGGACATCATACAAAAACACATTCCACCAGTAAACATAAGTTTAACTGACCTTGTTATATACAACGTATACAGTGCGGTTTCTCCTTATCCCATTCTCCCTAGTGCTCCACACTTGCCTAAGCGTTGTGCACACTTGCTGATCGTGTGAGACATGTCCTACTAGCTGATCAATGAAGACAGCAGAACTACCACACAGGATCCGTAGAACTAGATGTTCAGCCAGGATCAATCGCACATATAGTTAGCAAGGCCCTCAAACACTTACCTCACGCTGGACTGAAGAGTCGATCGCCTTCCTGTTCCTGTGTGTGCTATATCAATATACTCGTCAACGTCGCCGACGTTTGGGTCCTAAGGGCAACCCCTTTGTCCTCAAAATGAAGGCTAGTGTATTGGGAAACCCTAACCGTCACAAAATTCCCATTACTAACGTGAGTGAACCCCAGTGTCGTTTCACACAGAAAGTCAATGCCTCCAAAATACAGGTTCGCCAGAGAACGAGAGAGTCCTATGCTACCACGGACCGCTACCCTAACGAAGCAAAGGTCATTTTTCTGTTCATTCGTTTCTCATGGCAATAAAAAGCGCCAAGAATTCCGCGCCAGAAATAAGAAGAGGGCGTTAATTAGATGTCACAATATCTTACTGGCTTACGTCCTCTACCTTTTTCCATGTGCAGGTACAAGGTCAAACAAGGACAAGACTCAGCAGTTCCTGGTGCATTATGCTGGCTGGACAGGGGTAAGCTGAGGCACTACTAGGCAGCTAGAAATACTGTAGCTACCTGTAACTACTATCTCTATCCCAGTTGGATGAGTGGGTGGTGGAGCCACGATCCTAACGTGGATGAGACCAACCTTCAAAAGAAAAGAGAAGACTTCACAATGGCTTCATTCCCGATTAGTACATAAGTTATAAAACTAGCCACGAATGAATCAATTTTGCGCAAGCAAACGCGAGAGTCCCTGTGCACACGTCACACCTGTGTGCATATGATAAATATCTTATGGTTGTGTGCGCGAGTGCCCGTCGTTTAGTGTCTAACTGAATCACACCACGACGTGGCTGTAGTAGGCTCACTTGGCTGCTATAATACATGAGCTTTTGGAGGCCAGTCTGAAAGCACATTTACTGTCTTCCATACTGTGCAGCAGAGAAGGCCAAAGAAAAGGGAAAGAAAGGACCAGAAGAGGTGAGCATCTTGCCAGAGCATACAATAGATGTTGATGTATTTTTAGTTTGGTAGATCTTTATAATATTACTTATCTCCCTTTTTCCTCCTTTCATAGTGTTGAATAAACATTTTCTTTATTATTATAACCTGAGACTGGTCGACGAAGAAGGAAGACAAACGACATTCAAGAGAGCTCCCACAGTAGTTGAAGTGTGGGGTGTTTGTGGCCTCGGTTGGATAATATGAGTGTTACTACTTGCTCATTAGAAAAAAAAACAATATCTCTCACAGACACAAAGACAACAAATAAACACAAAAAAACAATCCAGAGAGAGAGTAAAGGTGGAGATACCGAGGAACTCAGAAGTGGCTGCAGACGCTGGACCAAAAAATGTCCAGACCAAGAAACAGGTAATATATACACAGTTTATGTGTGTTCACATGTGATACAGTGTAACTCTTTAACTCAATTCTATAGCATTCAATCCTAAACATTATTTTAGTCAAAGTGGAAACATATCCCTCTATAATACATGAATGGCGTAAATTCTCCCCAAAAAAAAAAAAAGTTTCCAGTTGCATAATCATGTGTCGAGAGTGCATGTGTCCCAGCGACTGAGTGGATATCTTTCTGTCCAGCTGGTGAGACTGCCAAAGAAGCAGATGGTGAATGACATTCTCCAGCAGTATGCCTCTCACCTCTCCACCACTGACCCTGACAAGACCAGGTTCAACAGCAAGTAGTTGCAGCTTGGTACTTGCCTCTTTGCTACCACACACATTGGCTAAAGCGTGGTACTTGTGATAAAAGTGCGCAGCGCTGTCACAGAGACGCACAGAACTGAATTACATTACCACACATTTCCATTCCTCCACTGTCTTATTGCTATGTATCTACACAAGATGCATAACAAAATGATCTCCTTTACATGACTATAATAATATACACATTGTACCTATACTTGTCTAAAAGGTGCAATTTTCTCATATGACACACTGGACAATGCACTTGAGTGAACATAATCCTTATTCGGGGTACTATACAAAGTATTGTGTTTGGTGTTTTATACATGCATCTGTTACTGTATGTATTTAATTGTGTTCACTCTCGTGCAGTTCGGGGCAGATGAAGGAGGTGTGCGATGGAGTGAGAGAGTATTTCGATGCCATGCTTGGTGCCCAGCTCCTCTACAAGTTTGAGAGACCGCAATATGCAGATGTGAGCCACTGAACTTATGCTTTTCAGAACTGTCATAGTGCTCGTGTACACAAGCAGGGCTGACTGGGACTAGTCTCTGTATCTCTTCATTTGTCTGCCTTAACATGCTTCCCAGGGAGACACTTTGACTATGTATGGTACTCTTTTGGGGGTAAAAGTGTCCCCTTCCAAGCATTTTTAGGGGGGGCAAATGAGGATATAGGGGGGCTCTGTCTTCCGGGTGCACTCTGGCCCCAGACCTGGCAAGGTGTACATGTAATCCCCAATGTGTATGCATGACATGCAGATGTTGGAGGCTCATCCAGACACTCCGATGGCTGAGATCTATGGCGTGGAGCACCTCCTCAGACTGTTTGGTTGGTTATGTCTCTTTGAGTAATAATTATTAATTATAGCAGAGTCGTGTGTAGCTACACTTACTTCCACGGAGCAAAGTAACTGGTTGAATCTGTTGACACAAAATACGGTGTAATTACAGCAGAAGAGTCTAGGTCTAGTATCTACACCTGAATCCATCAGATCTGCATAAATATTTGGCGTTTCATACTCCGATATCTCTTTGTTTCCGTGTAGTTCGCATTGGTCCAATGCTGTCGTTCACAGCCATGGAGGAAGACAGCATGTCACTCCTGCTGTCTCACATGCACACCTTCCTCAAGTGAGTCAGTTGTATAATAGGGATGCCTATAATGGCTTAAAGTGTAGTCATAATTTGGAACCATTGCGTTGATGGTGTGTAGCCATCTCTTTGAGTTGCTGTTGCTAAAGTTGGGTTTTCTTTTCTGTGATGTATAGGTATGTGGCGGCCAACCAGGAGATGTTTACAGTGGAGTATGACGCAGCACCTCAAGAGTACCACCGCAGAATGATATAGACACATCTATAGAGAGCACATTCATGTGTACCATTCATCCCACATGTGACATTCACACACATATTTGCTGCATTTGTCAGACTTCTGTTAGATTCATTGTTGATAATGCTGCATACAAGATTACAAGAGTGCTGTAATTGCTGGGGTATTCCCCTTTCTGCTCATTCCTATTAAAGTGTAGCCACAAGTTCTGGTCAACATTACCAGCTAAAGACAGTCACTTCTGGCACGTTATAGCTCAACAGGTTAGTTTGAAGGAAGCCAGCCAAGTTTAGGGAATTATCCTGTACTGTATATACCTTTTGGACGAGGTTGATAAGATGTCAGGAAGAGGGAAGATGGACCAAGCTGCCAAGTCAAGGATAATGTCCAGTGAGTACAAGAAGACTGGTGGGACGGCCACCCCCTGGTCCAAGAGGGCTCAAACGTACCGCTGACAGGAACTAGCTCCAGTGGCAGTAGTGGGTCAGCTGGAGATGAAGGCGGCTGGTGCACTATACTCTAGCTCACCAACTTCATGGAAAACTGACTCTACGTTAAAATTATTACTGTGTAGTTTCCAAGAGTAGAGTTAGTGGTAATAAACTGTCTAACACCATTATGAATTCATGAGCTCTTGTTAGAGATTGCTAGGGTCATCATGGAACCGACTCTTTCAGATAACATGAGTAGCTAAAGATAAAGATGGGTAATATAACCCACCACTGGGAAACTACAAGGCTGACCAGGGAAGACAAAGGCTGGGCTGAGCTTGAATGTCTCCCACTTGCCGGATGGTCATGCATAGCTACACAGACTACAACACAGGGTGCAGAAATGAGCTCCTACTCTTACACTACTAGGTGTACTACAAAAGAACAAGTACACGTACAAAGTAGCACGAGTTCAAAAATCAGGAGCTGTGTCATTGTAGCTACATGAGGGGAATATTTTAGGGAATCTCCCAGTACAGCAGTAACATTATGCTGATCATTTTGCACAGCATAGGTACACATCTCTTGTTTGATAGCTACATGATGCACTATAGCAGGGATTTTCCCGGGGATATCACCTCAGGAACAGCTAGCTATAAAAAACCTGTGCTCATGGAGCTACAGTATTACAGCCATAGCTTTCCTAAACCACATTCAAGCGACTGAAGATTAGTGAGAGTAAGTCATGACTAGTGCGGTATTGTACTGTACTCTAAGACTTGCCAATCTCAAGTGTTCTGGCTGGAAGCTATGTCTGAAGGTGGCAAGAAAGCGACTCCCATGGACCAAGCAGCCAAGTCGAGGATAATGTCTTCGGAGTACAAGGGGAATGATGGAAGGTCCACTGGCTGGTCCAGCAGAGCCCAGAGTGCTGCAGACAGAAACTACCCTCAGCACCACGGAAAGTAGGCAGCGTGATCCCTTGACAAACAGACTCCTTTGGAACAACGATGATGGCTAGTTTAGTGTGTTAGCTAGTGTAGCTATAATACTCAGTGTCCATGATGTACGTAGCTAGTGTAACTTGTACACTGCATGATGATCAGAGTTATGACAACTCATAGCTACACCGGCTGGATCCTCTACTGCTAAAATCATGCAGTAGTCACTGTTCCATGGTGGTTGTTCAGTATAGCAGTGTGTGCACAGAAAGATTTCATGTGAATGGTATCATAAAGGTAACTCCCTCATGAATAACATCTACTATGTATTGTCTAGGGATTCCTCAGTTAGCTACACCCCTCTTGTGTGTCTGTTCTTTGGAACCAATGACTCCACTCTCAATTCAAGTGGAAACGTTACTGGTTACAAGAAAAATGCATGGTTAACTGTTCATGGGTATGGCATGGTTGAGGATCTATAAAAACAGCGCCTACCACCAACTCCAGCTACAGTAGCTACACTCTGCACTGGAAAGACCACAAGCCTACATAGAGACTTCTTCAAGTGAGCCCTCTCTAGCTAGCTACCTCAAGGACCCCAGCATGTCGGACAAAGAGCCACAGAAGACCCCAATGACCAAAGCAGCTGCAGCCAGGATACAGTCCGGTGAGGGCAAGAAGACTGGGGGCCAAGCCACTGAATGGTCTAAACGAGCCCAAAGTGCTGCTGACAAGAACCAGTCCTGATTAGTAGGTCTACAACATGAAAAGCTATAACTTTGAAACACTAGCTCTTTAGTTTATACTTAGGAGAGGAACTCCTGTAGATATGAGTAGTTAGATAAATGACAACTATGTATTGTTTGGGAACTACATTGGTTATGAGGTGACCATAATTATTATTAACCCTCGGCGCGCATGCGCAGCGAGGGTTACAGTACTTGGTTTGTCCGTCTGCTGTCCGTCTGCCACCACGCGCAACAAACAGGTAAAATAGCGACACCAACGGGTTCAGCGCTACACTGGCTTGATTTTGAAAATAGCGATTGTCCTAAAAGTGTCGCGTTCAGAAGTTATGGCATGAAAACCAATGAACAAGCCAATATGCTAATTAGCACTAGCTTACCTCGACCTGATCCGCTTTATCTGTGTACCTCGGAGGCACAAGAAGTCACAACGAAGGGCGTGTATCGACTCCCGCATGCTATCTACTACTGTAGCTAGCCCGTGTCAGACTCTCCGCGAGTTACTAGCGGGAGATCACGCGCACGCATACACCAATAGCCCAGCCCATCAATTAGCAGTATCGCGCATGCGCTGTTCGCCGAGGGTTTGCACTTTAGTGCCTTTCATTATTATAGTGACAATGGAACGGTGTCACACATAATTCTAAATGTACATCAGCTGAGAAGGGTCAGTAACTTCCACAGCAGAGTGCTACAACAGAAGTTTGCAATGGACAGTCAATAGCAGTGGCACAATGGAAGTTGACATGGCTCTGCCCGGAATGACGTCTACAGAGGAACCTCCAAACAAGGGACACTATGTGTCAAACGATTGTGTCCCTTGTAGAGAGGTCGTCCCTATCTCAGAGGTCAAATAATACACTAAAGTATTAGCATGGGGTTGAAACAAGTGTCCTTTGTAGAGAGATCATCCCTATCTCGGAGGGTCCCTTATCGGAAGCTCCACTGTATTATTGTACCTGGTGCCAGTGCCTCAGTGCTAGCACAGCCACACTAAATACGTTCACATTCACTTGCCGTTGTTAGTATGACAAAATGCAAGGAAGATAAGGACAGAGTGGGTAGAAGAGACCTCTCACCCACCACTGGCAACTTTCCAGTCATCGCACTGAGTGGAGACCACAGCTCCCTGGTGACCCGACAGAGTCATGGCCGGCTGGCTCCCCCTCCGAGTGTCAAACACCCTCACCCTTCACCATGCACACAAGAGCACAGGGGGAAGGTGATTATAATTATATAGTATGAGGATACTTACATATTCTATCACCATCTACAACAAGATATAATAATTATGCATGGAATGTCGGTATGTATATACATGTTTTATATACAGCATCTAAGAAGTTAACTGACAGCGAACTTTTAAAATTGTTGACAGCAAGTAAAGTAACAGAAGTATTTGGCAGGCATTAAATACGTGTGTAGATACATGTGATTTTGTATGAGGGGAAATGGAGCCGTGGGCACTCAGTAAACACGATACAAGTTACTACGAGATTTGCTTTCTCACTAAGTTTGGTAGTTCTTTCGGCTTTATAGCAATAGCACCTTAAACTGGCATTCTGGAATATTACTGGACTTTAAATTTAACATTATAGCCAGACATCAAACCATATCATAAAAATCCACGTTAAGTATTTTCGCAGCTCAGAAATAAATCGGACATACCGTCTGTCGGCTGCCCCAGTCACCAGAGTGTTCGGAGGAGAACTGTGGATGTTGAGAGACGTGACCGGCTGGGCGTGGCCTCGCATGGTGCTCAGGTGACCACTGGTACAAAGGTCATACAGCTGCACCTGCATATCACAGTATAGTGTACACTTTAATCAATCTTTCAATATTACTTGAACGAATGCAACACATTGTTGGCGAGCGAGCGAACCTGAGTGCAAAATGGGAACATTTACATTATATTATATACAAGTGGAAAAATCATTTCTTCAAAATAAAAGGGGGATTATAGGGATGGCTTCTTGAAGCACCAAAAGGAAGAAACAAGGGGTCATTACACAGCAAAGTTGCACAAAGCTACATGACACCATCCCTATATCTTTGTTCGATATTAAACTTTGCTTATAAACAATAAAACAAAGATATAGGGATGGTGTCATGTAGCTTTGTGCAACTTTGCTGTGTAATGACCCCTTGTTTCTTCCTTTTTGTGCTTCAAGCCATCCCTATATCCCCCTTTCATTGTGAAGAAATGATTTTTCCACTTGTTTCCACTATTTTTAACAACTTATGACAACACTGCATTTATTGTTACAGTTACTCTGATGTTCATGGGTATGTTGTAGATATGAAAAATTGTAACTGTTGAAAGTAGTAGCTAATGGGGCTGCTAGTGCCTGAAGCAGGGGCTAGATACCGCATTCACCTCATGTTTGTCTTCAACGCACATGGTTGTGGTTTCATGGGCAGACTTTGGTAATCAGGCTACAACCTGGGGGGACAAACAATGAAGGCCCATTTGACTGAGCGCCCTGCAAGGCCCGCGTAACACAGCGCAGACTCTGGCAAGTTGCTCTTCGTGCAAATCAACAGCAAGATAGCCAGTTGGAAATGTGCACACTTACTTACAGAAGGTACTGGAGGCTGACAGTTCCTCTGCAGGTCTGCCAACTCGCTCGCCTGGTAATACGCTCGCTATCACATTGGACAACGCCCCTGCCTGGCGCATGCGCGCGGCTCACTGATGCTGAGTAAGCAGCAAATGGCGTTATTCAGGTCGACCATGGAAGAGCTCCATGATCTACCGTAGTGACTAGCGGCAAGAAAGAAACGATCGCTTGATGTCCGTGCACACCTCCGGCGAAATTGGAGACCTTCAGTGAAAAAAATCTGTGCTTGAACTGGTATTGGTAGGGAGATAGCGGGTTTAACTACTGTAACCCTCTCTGCGCATGCGCGCCGAGGGTTAAAAATTGGCGGAGTCGCAGTCATCTATTGAACAGGCCATTGTGCAAGCACTCTCCGTTGGAGAAAGCTGTGCCTGGTCACACGTGGCCCTACAAGGCTATGCGCATGCGCAGAGCGGAGAGTCTCCGGCGATGCCACAATATCTGATTTGGCTATAATTACCTGACCTTCGGACGATTTAGCTATACCCATGCAACGATTCAGCTATATTCATCCAACGATTTAGCTATATCCATCCAACGATTTAGCTATATCCATCCAACGATTTAGCTATATCCATCAAACGATTTAGCTATATGTATCCAACGATTTAGCCGTTGTACAGAACTTCGCGTAAAAGGGGTGTAAATGCAATAGATAGGTGGACTGGACTCTCGCTTGTCGCTTCGCTTGAGCAAATACACGATGCCAAAGACATGCTGCCGATGTAACGTCCTGCAAAAAAGCGAACAGAGTGTGTGTGAACTGTCTACCTTTCCGCCAAGTACACTGCAATAACCCTCCGAAGCCCGATACAACCGAAGCTGCCGAGCAAGGCTCAGAGCAGCACACAGACATCCCGCGGTCAGAGACCCAAGACCAAGCCGGCCCGAGAGACGGAGGGAATGGACCAGTGCTGATGCCAACACAGATCCACCTTTGTAAAATATCACACCTTGACACGTTTCCAACATCAACAGCAAGCCAACTACCTAGACCAACAACCAAGAGCACGGAACAGCAGCCCACTGGTCCTGCAGTCACAAATAACCCCGACAATCCGAGCCAGGAACCACCACCACCACCCACTGGAAAGGCTGGAAAAGCATTTGTCCAAGAACTTGCACGCCTCTTCCGCGCTTTCGCTGACAGCTCAGCCCTTGAATCCGTGGCCATGAGAGCGGCCATGGTCATGCCAGTGCTACTTATCCAGAAGCCTCATCAGAGATCCCGACAGAAGGAACACACAAAACACCTGGAGCGACGCCTGAAGCTGTGGTCAGATGGAGACATTGATGCCCTGTTGAATGAAGGCCGTACGATCCAAACTGAGTTCAAACACCACTTCAGACAACAGAACACCAACAACACGCAATCGGCACGAAGTTTTGCCAAGTTAGTGATGGAAGGGAAAATGAGAGCGGCACTACGCCTGCTAAGCCAAGATAACAACAATGGCCCCTTACCCCTGGACAGCCAGGTCGAAGAGAATGGCACAGCCAAAACAGTGCGAGAAATTCTCCAGGCAAAGCACCCTCTTCAAAAGCCAGCCAAGCCAACATCCCTAGTCGATCCAGACACACAACAACAACAAACCGCCGAACCACACCCCATTATATTCGAAAAAATAGATGGACAGCTAATTCGTAGTATGGCCCTGAGGACGGATGGAGCAGCAGGCCCCTCAGGCATGGATGCAGCCGCATGGAAAAGACTGTGCTCATCCTTCTCCACAGAGCTTTGCGATGCACTGGCCGCGACAGCCAGAAAACTCTGCTCCCAACACGTTGACCCTAGCGGAGTCTCAGCCCTAGTAGCTTGTCGCCTCATCGCTCTTGACAAGTTCCCCGGGGTAAGGCCGATCGGTGTTGGGGAGACTGCCGAATAATCGGCAGGACCAAAGCAAGGGCCATCAGTGAAGACATCCAGGAAGCAGCAGGCCCCCTTCAGGTATGCGCAGGCCATCTATCAGGCTGTGAAGCAGCAGTCTCAGCCGCACGCAAGCTGTTCGTAGCACCTGACACCGAGGCAACGATACTAGTGGATGCATTCAACGCCCTCAACAGACAAGCAGCCCTTCGAAACATCCAACACTTATGTCCCTCTCTTTCGAAGGTGCTTATAAACACCTACAGAGAGAAAGCTCAACTGTTCATAGATGGGGAGACTCTTCTGTCACAAGAGGGTACAACACAAGGAGACCCCCTGGCAATGGCGATGTACGCCATTGCCGTCACGCCACTGATCAAAGATCTCGAAGACAAATCAGTGAAGCAGGTCTGGTACGCCGATGATGCCACAGCCTGCGGTAAGATCAGCAACCTCAAAACATGGTGGGACGAAATCACCAAAAAAGGCCTTGAGTACGGGTACTTTCCAAACGTGGCAAAAACATGGCTAGTCGTAAAGGAAGACAAACTCGAAGAGGCCCACAGCATAATATTCCGAGGAACAATCGTATCCATAGCATCTGATGGCAGAAAGCTCCTTGGGGCTGCCATAGGTATATACAACGTGCTTCGTCAACAGCTATGTACAACAGAAAGTTGCCAAGTGGACGCAAGAAGTAGAAGAGCTGTCAAACATCGCGATCACACAAGTCAACCTCACTCAGCATTCACGCATGGCCTGATCAGCAAATGGACCTACCTCAGCCGGACAGTCCCTGATATTGAGAGCCACATGAAACCCCTCGAAGACGCCATCAGACAGAAACTACTTCCCACCGTAACAGGTCAAAATGCTTTCAATGACCTGGACAGACAACTGTTAGCCCTGCCAGTACGACATGACGGTGCAGTGCTGCTGCAAGGAAACTTCAACGTAAAAGGAAAGCTTTACAAGACAATTGACAAATGAGTTTGGTCCCCCAGATAGCTAAGCGGTGTCACTTACAACAGGAGCAAAGCACCGACAAAACCACTGTTAGAGTTGATGAGAGTGTACAGTGGAACCTCTCTACACGCGGGCCTCCGAAGAGCGGCCGGACTCTCTACAACGGCCATCACACATGGAACGGAATGTCTTCCATATACTTACCATATTTAAAACCTCTAAAATCGGCACCTCTCCACTCCGACCAATGGCCACGCCACACCCATACAAAAAGCGATACAGTATAATACATGTAGTCAGTAGCTAGCTAGCTAAGATGCAGCAAGTGATCCACTAGTTGTTTTCATCTTGTTTATATAAGCAGGTGGACCGTACAAGCGATAGGTGCATGGTATCTCTAAGGCCATAGCCTGCACCCCTGTTCACTTTTTGACCGGTAACTTCAGCAAATGCTTTATTGACATCCCTTTAAAAAGATGGAACAGTCTAGGGGAAAGATTTCGTGGAACATGCCCAACAATGCTATCTTCTTTTAACACTGCCACGGCGTTCGAGTCTTTCTCATTTGTTGGTTCGGGCTTGACAAGTAAAACTTCGCCGATGGTCGGAGTCCATAGTCCAATGTATACGTGGTATCCTCTTATGTACGTAGGAATGTATCTCAAAAACCTCTAGTCCACTTCCTGATACAGCTTGACTGGCCATGGTACTGTCTATGGATACTACGCAACGGCCAGCTTTGTCACTCACAGATCTCATGCGAGATTGCACGGCCGGGCATGGCAGAGCGTGCGCACTAAGGCTCCACCCATCACCACTTGTAACGTCTAAGGCAAAATGCCTACCAACAGCATGAAGAAAAAGCGATATACCTTACCCTGAAGCAGAAAGTGGAAGTAATAAAGATGTTTGGAAAGAACAGTGGAATGAGCCATAGATCCCTTGCTGAACATTTTGGATGTGGAAGAACCCAGATAGCTAAAATTCTAAGGGACAGTGAGTCCATAATGTCAGTCAAATGCTTCAGGAAATAGCAAAGTTCGTCGTGTTTTTCAGAATTTGAAGAAGTTAATAAAGTATTGTATGAATGGTATGCTCTTGCTAGCTCAAAAAATATCCACCCTGGAGGACCAGAGCTTATAGCAAAAGCTAAGAGATTGCAGAGCGATTAGAAAAGCCAAATTTCAAAGGATCGATGGGTGGCTATGCAAATGGAAGGAAAGATACAACATAAAGGAATTTGCTGTGTGTGGTGAATCAGGGGATGTGCAAGGAAGCACGATAGATTCGTGGAAAGAGACGCTCCCTGAAATAGTAAGCGGTTACACAAAAGAAAACATTTATAATATGGAC